TTACACATCCAGAAAGGCATATTTCTTTTCCTTATCGGATGGCTGGGGAATTCTGGGAGTTGAAGTCCAGAGTTTGAAGTTGTCGAAGTTGGACGCTCTTGGTTTAACGTCTGTATTTTCATGGTTTCTAAACCAAGTTTACAAGCACGTGGGGGAATACTCTCGTTTGTCTCCCCTTCGACTTCAGAAAAGCAAGCCAACATTGACCCCCGTCTTCCTGCCTCATGAGTTTTAGGCTAGGAAAACTCCAACTTTAGAAAGGCTCCGAGGGCCTTTTTTCTGGATGCCAGACGAATATGGGATATTTGAACTGGGGCAGGTAAGGTAACCCATGTGGCTGTTGATACCGACTCTGAGGGCTGGACAAATAAACTTAAATTGCAATTGGGGTAATCTTCGACTTAAAACCACAACTGGGACCAGAATTTTCACCGTTAAGTGATGTGGTCGCAAAATAAATGTGCATCGCTTAGCGATTGCAATCCTGGCATGCCCGTCTGCGGTCATAACTCCAGACACACAGGTCCACGAAGCAGATGGCAGTTCCAGGTAAGGAGCAAGGGGGTGTTACAGGAGGCTGGACGGCTCTGGGAGGCCGAGGAAATAATACAGGTAGTCCTCAAATTACGACTAAGCCCAAATTGTTGTTGCAAAATGAGACATTTGGTTTAGTGACTTTTGCCGAATTTTACGACCTTTTTTTTTTTGCCACGGCTGATAAACGAATCACTGCAGCTGTTAAGTGAATTGTGTGGTCATTAATGGAATCTGATTGTCAGAAGGTAGCTGGGAAAGTTGCCAATGGTGGCCACAGGCTCCTGTGGGCGGTGAAACCGTCATAAGTACAAGCCAGTTGCCAAGTGCCTGAATTTTGAACATGTGACCTTGGGAATGGTACAACGGTCGTAAGTGTGAAAACTGGTCATAAGTCACTTTTTTCAATGCCGTTGTAACCTCGAAAGGTCACTAAGTGAATGAGTGTATGTCCTCCACAGTTCATGTGATGACAGTTCACGCATGACACAAAAATAACGAAGTCACAAAAGTAGAATAAATTCCCTTTAATACCTCCAACTTGGCCCCCAATGTCCAGTTATCCTCGGCTGGATATCAAACTCTTCAAAAAACAGTCTACGAAGTGCAGAAATGCAGTCCGAAACCAAAGTAGAGATAATTAGAAATTTAAAAAACCAACACAAACCACACAGCCGGCCAGGATGATAAATTGCAGATTTTCAAAGGATAATGCAGCACCCACAGTGGGGAGGATGCCAAAACCCAGATAAGCCTCGACCAAGATAATGTACGCTTTGCTTCCAGCAAGGAGCCGTGTGCAAGCACCCCACTTATATCCTGTTCTCCCAGCTGCAGCCCATGAAGGGGATCAGGGCCCTTTCCTCTCCTGTAAGCCATGTTGCTCCCTTCTCCGTTCCTCCCTGTGTGCCCTAGGATGAAGAGGGGCTGGCCCTGGGTCTTCCTCTGAATGCCCAGCCAGACTCTGCCCTTCCCCCATTTCTTCCACAGCCACTGGAGCCACACTCCCACTCCCAGTCAGCTGCTCAATCTCCTCCTCAGAATCAGACTCCAACAAGGGCATGACAGTTCATTTAGTGAGAGATCAAAGTTACAACGGCACTGAAAGAGTGACTTGTGGCCATTTTTCACGCTTATGACAGTTGTAGCATCCCCATGGGCAAGTGAATTACATTTGGATGCTTGACAACTGACTCACATTTATGACGGTTGCTGTGTCCACAATTGCAATCTTCTGACAAGCAATGGGGAAAACAGATTCACTTAGCAACCATGTCGCTAATTTAAGAACTGCAGTGACTCACACAGTGTCACCACACTAAGAGGGCGAGAAGAGTCATAACATGGGATACAACTCACTGTTTCTCACTTAGTGACATAAATTTTGTGCACGATTGTGCTCGGTAAACCGAGGACTTCCTGGACACGCGAGGAGATTGCACCTCACCCCAAAGAGAAGGAAAATGCAAGGTAGAAAGGTGGAAAATTACCTTATACACAGTCCACCTCAAACTGGGTTTGGAGGGATGCCTTTCATTGGTTAGCAACGTCATTTGACTTGTGGCTCATGCTGCCCATGTAGCAAGTAACGTTTCATAGCATCCCATAATATTCCTAGCGTGACCTTGTTAATGCTCATCCTCCTATTCAGGAGGTGTCGTTTTTACACTCTCATGAGGCATGCAAGTTGTTAAAGTTGACATCTATGTCCTTGGCTAGTTTGAATGGGTTCTTAGATTAAATTCTCCTCATGGAGAATTTGAAGCTGTGTTACTTCAAAGGACTAGAAACATGAGTCAAAGAAGTTCCTGAAAACTTCACTCAAAGAGGCACCCCTCCCTCTCCTGCTGCCATCACACCAAGAAAGCACCAAATACCTGGGAACAGTGGTGGGATTCGATTTTTTTTACTACCAGTTCTGTGGGTGTGGCTTAGTAGGCATGGCAGGGGAAGGATACTGCAAAATCTCCATTCCCTCACCACCCCACTAACCTGCTTTCCAGCTCCGTTCTCCTGTGCAGGGCAACCAAAGAAGACCCAGCCGATCAGCTGGGACTCAGGAGGCAGAGAATAGATGGGGGCAGGGCCAGTCAGAGGTGGTATTTCCCAGTTCTCCAAACTACTCAAAATTTCCTCTGCCGGTTCTCCAGAACTGGTCCAAACCTGCTGAATACCACCTCTGCTCCCCACCCCACTAACCTGCTTTCCAGCTCTGTTCTCCTGTGCAGGACAACCAAAGAAGACCCAACCGATCAGCTGGGACTCGGGAGGCAGAGGATAGATGGGGGCGGGGCCAGTCAGAGGTGGAATTTGCCGATTATCCGAACTACTCAAAATTTCCACTACCGGTTCTCCAGAACTGGTCAGAACCTGCTGAATACCACCTCTGCTCCGGAGCCCGGGGAGGCCATTTTTGCCCTCCTAGAGGCTCAAGGAAAGCCCAGTGGTGCAGGAGGCCAACTAGGCCACGCCCACCATGGCCACGCCCACCCTGCAACCAGGCAGAGAACCCATTGCTAAAAAAATTTGAAGCCCACTCCTGAGGTAGTCCTCGACTTACAACAGAACCTAGGAGTTGTACGTACCCTGCAGCCTAAGCCAGGAATGAGACCACAACCAATTTGGGGAGTGCACATCTTGCGCGCGCATGCACCAAACGCACATGCCGGCACCAAACGGGTGCTTCATGCGCGCACAGCATTTAGAAAAGACAATTTTTAGCTATAATACTTACCTTCCGCTGCAGCCCTGGCGGGAATCAGCCGTGCTCAACAACAAGGAAATAAAGCACAGGAAGAGAACACGGGTCGGTGGGCGGGACCAAATGATCACTGGAACTACCGGTTTGCCCAAACCGCTACGAACCGGTAGACTCTCACCCCTGCCCATATGCTTGTAAGCATGATTTAGAAACGGTAAAAATACAGACACTAAACCAAGGGTGTCCAACTTTGACAACTTTAAGACCCGTGGACTTCAACTCCCAGAATTCCCCAGCCAGCCAATAAGGAAAGCCATCCAGCCTCCTGTAACACCCCCTTGCTCCTTACCTGGAACTCCCATCTGCTTCGTGGATCTGTGTGTCTGGAGTTATGACCGCAGATGGGCGTGCCAGAATTGCAGTCACTAAGCGATGCAGTCATGTGACATTTTATTTTGCGACCACATCACTTAATGGTGAAAATTCTGGTCCCAGTTGTGGTTTTAAGTGGAAGATCAACCCTATTGCAATTTAAGTTTATTTGTCCAGCCCTCAGAGTCGGTATCAACAGCCACATGGGTTACCTTACCTGCCCCAGTTCAAATATCCCATATTCGTCTGGCATCCAGAAAAAGGCCCTCGGAGCCTTTCTAAAGTTGGAGTTTTCCTAACCTAAATTTCATGAGGCAGGAAGACAGGGACGCACAAGAGTATTCCCCCACGTGCTTGTAAACTCGGTTTAGAAACCATGAAAATACAGACACTAAACTAAGGGTGTCCAACTTCGACAACTTCAAACTCCGTGGACTTCAACTCCCAGAATTCCCCAGCCATCCGATAAGGAAGAGAAATATGCCTTTCTGTTCTGAAAACCTAGTCTGTTTCCTTTTTACTTGTTCAGATGTATACAGAGTTTTCGAGTTATGATTGGTTACTTAGCAACTATTCAAAATTATGATGGAACCTGAAAAAGGGACTTAGGATTCTAGGTTTCGATGTCCATTCTGCCCCCCCACCCTCCCCCGCCCGTGGTCATGTGATCAAAATTTGAACGCTTGGCAACTGACTTGTAGTTATGACGGTTGTAGTGCCCCGAGGTCACGTGATCTCTTCTTGCGACCTTCCGACAAGATTCATTTAACAACCATGTTAGTAACTTAAGAACCTGTGGTGATTCATTTAGCAACGGTGGCAAGAAATGTCATAAAATGGGGCAACAGTCACTTAACAATTGTCTCGCTTAACCATGGAAACTTTGGGCTCCATTGTTGTCATAAGGTGAGGACTTCCTATATACTCTATTTTACTGAAAAATGAAACAACTGCAGTGATTCACTTAACAACGGTGCAACGGAAGCTCGTAAAACGGGGCAAAACTCACTTAACAACAGTCTCGCTTAGGAAACAGAAATGCTGGTGATTGATTTTGGTCGGTAAGCCGAGGACTAGCTTCATTTTTCCATATTGACTAAAAGGGATGTATCCTGAGCTCATGCAGGTGACACATCAGCTGTCAAACAGGCAAATGCTCCTACCTGACACCTGGAAAAAGGAGAATCATCCGGAGCGGAGATTAGGTAATTTTCAGAGGTTCAATTAGGGAGTTGAAATAGGAGGTGAACTCTGGTTACTCTTCATCGGAACTGAAATAACCTTTGGGGCGATATTTTCACTGGCTAATGTGACATGATTTGATCTCCCGGCAGACTGCTGGCTACTGTGCCTTTGAGTTCAAGGGCTGGAAACAAAAAACGAGGGGAAAATACAGAGACATGGGGAGTCCTTGGCGCTGTCTGATATTTTTTGCTGACTTTTAATCACCCAGACAAACAACCAAGCTCAGAGACCTGGATCTTGAATTGCAGATATTCCCTACTGTTGAGTGTTCTGGGCAGCAGTGGGATCCTACCGGTTTGGTGATCGCATGTGCGTGCACGCGCAAATAACACCTGCACCCCTAACCAGGGGTGGGATTCAAATTTTTTAACAACCGGTTCTGTGGGTGTGGCTTAGTTGGTGGGCACGGCTTGGTGGTCATGTGACTGGCTGGCCGTGGCCAACTCAACATCACTCCCATCGAGGCACGCATCTCCTCGCCTGGCTTCTCGTGACTGTGGGGATGCTGCAACAGTTGTAAGTGTGAAAAATGGTCATAAGTCACTTTTTACAGTGCCATTGTAACTTTAAATGATCACTCCACACAAGCAAAGTACCAGCAAAGGAGGGGGAAAAAAACTCCAGAGAAGTTCCAGAGACGGGAAGTCTGGTCCTGCCAATGCAGTTTCTGTAAGCAACACCAGAATGTTTCCTTCCTGTCTTCCTTACAGGATTAGGCCAGTAATTTCTTCTAACAACCGGTTCTCCGAACTGCTTAGAATGTTAACAACCGGTTCTAGCGAATAGGTGCGAACCTGTAGAATCCCACCCCTG